TATGATAGCTGAAGAAGGAATATCTGCCCAGCCCGCTGCCTCAAGCCATAGAGACCAAAGGGGGTAAGTTTTATGACCCTGTCGCTTCCTCTGAGGAAGAGCTGTTCCTTGTGACAGCAGCTTAATGACCCCTTTTCTAGTCGGGGACTCTCAACTGGGAATTGATTGTTCACCGTTGTGTTAACAATCTACTTACTATAGGTAGTATGCTCCTTGGGAATAGTTCCTATTTATAACTATTGATCAACTTCCAAGAAATAGGGGGTAAGTGTACACTACAGTTTTACTTAGCTTTATTTTTACTACCGTCTTCAACAGGACAAAACTAAAAACACCTGCCACTGGTTGATTGTTTCTTGCCAGATCCTGTGCTCAATAGGTGCTTTCCAGGTGTCTTACTTGGCCTTCCTGCTGTTATTGTGAGATATAGAGTGTTACCAGTGAGGCGGACTGCGGGCAGATACCTCCCGCAGGTGCCTCTGCAGACGCCCCTGCAGAATTGGTAGGGTTTGAATGGAGGCCTGACTGGCTCCGAAGCCTGGACTTTTTTTTTTTTTCCCCAACATTTCCAGTACACTGCTGCTCAGAGTGTGTTGGTAATAAACGTCAAAAAGTAATTTTCTAAAGTGTGTGTGTGTGTTTTGGGGTGTTTTTTTTTTTTTGATAACTTACAAGAGAGAGTAGGCACGAGGCATGCTTTATTTCCCCTCTCCTTGATATAATAACTTTCTATTTACATTGATGGATTCATGATAGAAGAGTGTTTGCCTATCTGCTTTATTTCACAGCATACGCTGTTCTCTTTTAAAATTAGAGGCCTATTAATGGCAGGGGTGAAGGTTAAGGTGAGGGGTAGAGAGTCAGCACCTTTCTGTAATAGATTTTTATTTCCTGTAGGACTCACATGAAGCATAAAGTTCAAATTGGAGGTAGTAGGTGGAAATATTGGACCTCACGCGATAGGCAGGTGTCGAGCTTTACCAGGTGAAGTTCATGCTGT